GTGTAACTGATGTGATGCTGCAATCTGTATACGGGGTAAAAATGGGAGTTCATAACCCACTTGAATCAAAGTGTGAAATATGATATGTCAAGAACTATGTAATGTTTTGAACAACCAACAATAAAAATTAAAGGAAAAAAAATACTCACGTCAAAATCTTCAGCCTTCCCAGATGGTTCATGGCAATTTAGTGAGAACTGAGTGTCTGGATGGGACTGTCCTACTGTGCTCCTCACACACAAGCACAGCAGTAGATGGAGGGCACAGAGGGAAGCTGCTGTCCCCTTCACACACTCACATTCAGTCTGTTCCTTTGTGTCCGTCCCTCCTGCCCTCCATCACACCTACTCTCTCTCAGCCCAGAGCTGCTCCAGGGTCTGGTGGAACTGGTCTCCTCCACTCACTTTCCCACTGCGATCTTCACAGGGCTCATTCTGGGCTGTCCTTTTCCTTTCTCTTTTTCATCCATCAGTGGGCTCCTGTCTGCCTTCCATCTTATGGATGTTAATATCTTTCTTCTGGTTGTCATCTTACCATTATGGATTTAGGTTCATTCTGTTTATATTTTCAAATTTCATTTCAGAGGGAATTTTGGAAATATAAGAAATGATTACATATACTTAACTGGAAATTTTTAATCAGAAGCACATGCTAGTAACACTTAAAATTCCAAGCTGACTATATTTGATATTACACATGAAAGAAAATTGATAAGCAGGATGAAGACACAGATCAGAAAACAACAGAGAAATGCTTTCATATTGGTAAAAGTCAGTTTAGTGCTCACAAAGAAGTTGTTTTGACTTTATGAAAAGGATCCCTAATGGCCAGATTCTCATTTCACCCTCCATTCTCTTCTTATTTGGTTATTTATTTCACTTTTAGGTCCCAATAGTCTTTATGCTACAATAAGTTGGATGGGAAAGAGTTTCTTTATCATTAGGCCATAGAGAAGATTGCTTTTGTTTGTTTGGCCCTGTTTCCCACCTGTATGGGACTACTGTGTGCTTAACTCAGGTGAGGGTCACTGACAACCTCTCCTTTGTCTTCTGTACCTCCCACAAGTTCCCTTCATTTTCTAGTCTGTTGATGGCATTCACTCCTGTCTTATTGAGTCCATGTAGATTTACTTTGTTGTCTATCCTTAATTCTTTCAAGAAATATATATATATATATATGAAAAAATATATATTTTTTCACATGTTCTTCTCCTTTATAATTCTACTTCAGTTTCTCTATAGATGGACCTCTGTCAATCTTCCTTTTAGTTCAGTGTCTCCATAATTATGCATAATATACCAGTCTCTTCTGGCCATTGACAAGGGAACAGGGCTCTCACTTTCTGTACTTAAAAATGTGGTACTTGAGTGATTTTCTCATAGCCTTAAGAAATATCAAACTTGTTGACCTGAAACCAAGGAGGCTATCACTCTTTCTACTTGACAAGGAAAATTATAACCTTGATTAATTTGCATTGCTGATAGGCTAAAGATGTTATCCAGGATTATTCTTATCGAGTCACTCATCTAATTTAGCTTTTTTCCTTCAGCAACAAATAAAGAAATAATCTCTTTTCCTCACTCTCATGCTCACTTTCAGCAACAAGGGCCATGCTCACCTCAGGCCAAGGCTACTGATCTTGATCCCTCTCTCTGATTAATGGTTTTGCAAAAATAATATGAAATATCTCATCAATATTATAGAGTCTAGAATAGTGTTTTCTGTGACTAATTTTTCAGTTAGGCAAATTAGGGTTCCTTCTATTTTTCCAAAATCACCTTTTGTTTGTTTGTTTTAATTATTTAAATCATTAAATTTAAAAGTAGGAAAAATGATAGAGGTTCCTTTATCAATCCAAGGGCCTCCATAATGTTGGTTTGTTGTTACCAAACACACTAGCAAGAAGCATTATGGATTTGGTAAAATAATCACAATGTTATGTCTCTCTGCTAGAGCAACAAGGTGAGCTTCAATCTATGTTCAATTCAGAATCACAAATTTAGAATTTTCAAATATAACTACTCCAACTTCTATATCTGAAGGTTTAAATTCAATGAATAGAACAGTATATAGGCATGAAATTGTAATTTCCACTATCTGTTCAAATGTTCAATCAAATTTCCTCTTCACTTTTTTCCATGAAGTTGGTTGACCCTGTCTGTTTAACTCCTGCTGCAGTGGCTTGAAACCAATAGTGGTAACCTGTAGGACCACACTTGAACACCTGTGGTCCTTATTTTTTGTTTATACCAATTATAATCATATAACCACCACACAAGTCTCTTGTCTGCATTCTCTGCGTAGACTTTAAAAAGATAAGCAAGTCTTTTACACAGTATATCCATAGGAATCCCATATCCATATATGGATTTCCAATTATAAGCCTCAGAGCATGCCCCCTATACCTGGGATCTGCTGTAGGCTGTCCTCCAGTCATCACTCAGCCAATGTTTTCAGTCACCTTGAGTCCAATAATTTGTCAGGTACTTTCTTCTGTGTGACAATTACTACATGGTCTTTCCCTCTGACAGCTATTCATGTAAGCCACCCTGAATGATATCTTAAAAGCATATTCCAATTGGTAAGACCAGCCCTCCAGTGAAAAAAGGCTAAGTTAGTCAAAACCAACACTGCAACTGTCAGACATGTTGGTGAAGCCACTACAAACCATCTCTGGGCCCCATTTATTCTCTCCTATTTTAATTTTTATGTACTGTAAGATTAAGTCCCATGTACTGCAGAAGGTGACATCATCACAGATTTTGAAAGGGACACGCACATTCCCTGGAAGTTGGCACATCACACCTTGACATGGGAAGGGCACAGCGGTCTAGATCCCCGGTCCCGCCTCTGGCCTCCAGAGGGCGATGTTGCACAAGGAGGCGTCAGTTCTCACTGAGCATCCTCTTCATCCACGGAGCCCCTCCTCCCTGCCCCTGGCTGATGCTTCCTTACTGATGTAGTTAAGGGACCTGTCGCTAGAACAAGGGACCAGAGAGCATCCAGACTGCTTAAAGGAAAGCCTCTTTCTAACCGTTTGTGAAACTTGTCCAAGCAAGGGACTCGTGCAGCGCCTCCTCTCCACTCTCCACTCAGTGCCCCAGAGGCTCAGCCACCGCGACCTTCCCACCCGCGGATCCCTGTAGCTTTCCCCCACCAGCCATGCTCCTGCTGCTCCTGCCGGTGCTCGAAATGGTTTTCACCCTGAGTGAGTACATGCCAGTTCCCTCTCCCCTCCCACCAAAGTGACCGTGTTTTGATTGGAACTGGAGCGTCTTCTCCACAGCCAGGTCTGCGCTGCTTTTCCTGACTCAGCATTAATGTTGCAGGAGGAAGCGGAGCCCAGTCAGTGACCCAGCCTGACCGCCACGTCCTGGTCTCTGAAGGAGCCCCTCTGCAGCTGAGGTGCAGCTACTCATCTTCTGTTCCTCCCTCTCTCTTCTGGTACCAGCAACGCCCCAGCCAAGGCCCTCAGCTCCTCCTGAAGTACGCATCAGGGGCCACCCTGGTGACAGGCATCAATGGTTTCCAGGCTGAACTTAGGAAGAATGAAACCTCCTTCCACCTGAGGAAGCCCTCAGCCCATTGGAGCGACTCAGCTGAGTACTTCTGTGCTTTGAGTGACACAGTGCCTTGGGCTGCAGGGGGAGCTGAGCACAAACCTCCTGACACAGGGGACTTTCTGTGACACACAGGCTCAAGCTGGGGAGTTTCAATTTCTGTGCAGCCCAAGATGGCAGGGTGGACTGAGCCCCTGAGAGTGTTTGTCACCTGAATAGTTGCCTCCATGTCTGTGTTCTGTCATCTTTAGACTGGCTGTGTCCCAGATGAAAATCTTATGATGAATTTTTTTAGGAGGGACCTCTGTCCCCATCAACTTCATTCCCCAACTCCCACCCCACACCTACACTCTGAAGAACACACATCATATCTATAAGGGCTCTGAAATTTAAAAAGAAACATCATCTTTATTTTAAAAACTCATTTCTAGCATCCACTATGATGATTAGCATTGCCTCGGGTGTTGATCAGACATGGATACTTGTTTGTGTTAGTAGGCAAACTGTGCAGCCTAGATTCTCATTTAGGACAACCTTTAGGGTATAGATTCTCAATCAGTGCACTATAGACTCTAAATCTAGATTGGAAGCTTAACTTCTTGCACATACATAATATCTCTGTGTGATATTGACATTTTAAAGTAATTTAAACAAATGTCTATATTTCTCATTTTGTATTACAGAGCCAATGATCAAATTAAACATAATTTTAATGAGATAGGAAAACTAAAATCCATACAGTTGTAATCTGTTGAAACAGTTATTCCAGTGATTTTCATATGAAAAATTTGAGACAATTATCCCATAAAAGGAAATCAAATAAAAGAGATGAAAGTACTGAAAAACCCTTAGTTATTCCCTTTTAAGAAGTTATTCTAATTCATGGTATAATATAAAAGTAAACACTTGAAAAACATTTTTATTCTTTCAAAGCACATTAACAACATTAATAGGAAGATAGACCTTCACTACCAAAGTTCACAGTATCAGACATTACATCAGTTCTCACAGGGATATCAAATGAAAGAAACCATTTTTATTTACTCTGAGACAATTATATAAAAATACAACATGTTTAAGAAATCTATATCTATGTCTATCTACATATATACACTTATGATTTCAAATTGCTTTTGTGTTTTGGTTCAAATGGTAGGATTAAAAAATGTAACATGAAAAGTCTATACATGCAGAAGTTAAGATTTTTTTATCTCAGCATTTCATAATTTATGAAATTACTGACAGAAATTATGAATCATTTTATTTCTTAAAAATATATGCAACTGCTGGACATGGTAATTGCACACCTGTAATCCCAGTGGCTTGGGAGGCTCAGGCAGGAGAATCTCAAGTTCAAAGTCAGCCTCAGCAACTTAGCGGGGCCCTGAGCAACTTAACAAGACCCTGTCTCAAACAAAAATAAAAATAAAAGAAATTTTAAAATGGGCTGGGATGTGGGTCAATGGTTAAGAGAACCTGGGCTCAATTGATGGTCCCTAAATAAATAATAAATAGATAAGTAAAATGTACAATAACCTAAATCAACTTTTAAAAATGTGATTGAATTAATTAAGTTTTTTGTTGTTGTTGTTTTAATCACTGTTACCAAAATATCTGCCATGAGCAACTTAGGGGAGGAAAGATTTATTGTGTCTCATCATTTCAGAGGATTCAGCCCAGAGTCAACTGACTCCAATACTTTAGGGCTTGAGGTCAGGGCAGAACATCCTGGTGGAAGGACATGGCAGAGCAAAGCAACACAGCTCATTGAAACCAGGGAGTGGAGGCAGGGGAACTGGAGAGAAGAAAAACCCTTCTAGGGTATGCCCCCTGACCCACCACTGCAACTAGGTCCTGCATCCTAGAGTTCCCTTCACTTCCCCATAGTTCATTCAGCCATGATTGATTACTCCTTTGATGACTCAATCATTTTCTAAAAGCTCTACCTCTCCTTGCATGAGACAGGGGACATAACCATAACAGAGGAAGTGGGATTCTTGCCTTATTATAATTGTATCCCTAGAGCCATTAAAGCATGCATTTTCCAATCATGCATGTCCCAGCTACTTGAGAAGCTGAGATAGGAAGATTGCATGAGACTGGCCTGGGCTATACAGTGAGACCCCTCAACTTGTAAAAATGCCATTAATTGAACAAAAGAGGGTTAAAGTCTGTATTAAATATACTAGTCAGACTGGGCCTCCTCCTCTCCTGTTGCATCAAAGACTCAAGTTCCCCTTTGGTGTCTTTGGCTGCAGATATACTCGAGGTTCCTCTAAGTGTGTCACTTCTTCCAGCTTTACATTGTACCCATTTTAATTTAATTTAGAGTTTTTCTGACAGAACATTTGTCCCTTCATTATGTCTTTTATGATTGTTTATTTCACTCAGACTTACATTTTTCAGGGACATAATTTTTTTTAATTGTGGAAAGAACATTTAACATAGGTCTACTATATTTCAGCAAAATTGTAAGTCTACAATTCAGTATCATTATATAGAGGCACATACAGCATATCTCTAGAAATTTATCATTGTGTGTAATTGAAACTTGGTATTCATAGACCAGTATCTCCCCATTCACACTCCCCTTATCTCCTGACAACCACTAGTCTATTCTCTGCTTCTATGACTATCATACCCAAGAATTAGACATTGCCAAGGCCAATGGCATGAACTTTTACTGTGTTTTTTTTCCTAGAAGTCTTACATTTTTTAAGTCTTACATTTAAGTCTTAAGCCATTTTGAGTTGACTTTTGAGTATGGTAAAAGCTAAAGGTCCAATGTCATTCATTTGCAAGTGGATAATCCAGTTTTCCAAAGACAATTTGCTGAAGAGACTTTCCTTTCCTGTTGCATATTCTTGATGCCCTTGATAAAGATCAGTTGAGGGTATATACAGGGGTTATTTCTGAGCTTTCTGTTCTGGTCCATTGGTTTATATGTCTGTCTTAATGACAGTACTATTTTCTTTTAATTACTACAGCTTTGTAATATGTTCTGAAACCAGGAGGTATGAGACCTTCAGCTTTATTCTTTCTCCTTGTAATTCTTGGTCCTTTGTCATTCCATATGATTTTTCTTTTTGGTTCTGGGGATTGAACCCAGGGGCATATAACTACTGAGTCACCTCTCCCTTTTTAAATATTTTATTTAGACAGAGTCTTGCTGAATTGCTTAGAGCCTCACAAAGTTGCTGAGGCTGTATTTGAACTTGCCATGTTCAAAGATTACAAGCATGTGCCACTGCATCCAGCTTTCCATATGATTCTTAAGAATTAGATATTATTTTTTATTTATGTGTAAATTTTGATAGCAATTACATTGACTCTATAAATTGCTTTGGCATTTATGGATATTTTTAACAATGAAAAATCTTCCAAACCATTAACATCAGATATCTTTTCATGTACTTGTATCTTTTTAAATTTCTTTCATCACTGTTTTGTAGTTTTCAGTGTGCAAGTCTTTTATCTCTTCAGGTTTATTTGTAAATATTTCATGTTAATTTTTGAAGGTATTGGAAATAGGACTGTTTTTTAATTTCATTTTGGATAATTAATTGTTAATATAAAGAAATGTAATTGAGTTTTGTGTGTTGATTTTGTTTCCCACAAGTTAACAAATTTGACTATTTCAACAGTTTAAGGGCTTTAAAGGGATTTTTTTTTACAAAGAAAATCATGTCATCTGCAAACAGATATAATTTAATTTCCTTTCTAACTTGGATTTTATTTATTTATTTATTTATTTATTTATTTATTTTTGCCTAAATGCTCCAAGGAGATCTTCCAGCACTGTGTTGAATAAGAGTGATGAGACTAGGGGTTCTTACCTTGTTTCTGATCTTAGAGAAGAAGCTTTCGGCTTTTCACATAAGTGTGATATTAGCTGTGGCTTTTGATATATGACCTTTATCATGCTGAGGTTATTTCCTGAATCTTGGTGACAATTTGGTTGAGAGTTAGTAGCAGTTAGGTGAGTTCCTGAAGTGTCACATACCAGAACAGGGGGAATTTCTCATATTCATCTGCAAGGAAGGTCTGTAATTGAGATGGCCTAAATAGTGATGACTGTCCTAGCAGAACTGAGAACAGGAATCAGTGAGGGCCATGGTAAAGCTGGAATCCCCAGTAAAAACACTGACACTAGTTATTTACACCTTTGAATTTTTAACTAAAAATCTAATATATGAGTCCTATTCTGGCTCCAAAACTATGCCAGTGATTTCTATATTCTCTCATACCTCTTCTGAGATTAGAAAAACAGGATGAGAAGAAGAGAAGGAGATGAGAAGAAATGGGAGAAAACAATTAAAATATTGAGGGACAGGAGAAAAGAAAGAAAAAGAAAGGGAGATAAAAAAGAGGACACACTTAATTGATTTGAAATATCGTCTGTGCCTCACAACTCAAAAGAGTTTCAGTTCTGTAAGTTAAAATTCCTGGAGACTCATCACACCACAACGTGAAAATATTTAACACTACTGAACTGTATACCTAAAAATGGCTAATGGTAAATTTAATGTTGTGTGTTTTTACTACAAAAACACACAAACCAACCAACCTGTGGTCATTACTTCGAGTCAATAGAGAAGAAAAAGCCTGCAAAATGAATAGGAATGTATTGGACAGGGGAAGAAGGAGAAGACAGAAATGAGGTCAAATTGGCCATGGTATACAGGTCCTAGTCCTCTTTCCAGCAATCAAAGTCTCATTGGAGGCATTTTACATATCCGTGATGGTTTACAGAATTTGTCCTAGGTTTACAGAGTTCTATTTTCATTTAGTTGTATTTGCTTTTTTTCCTAGAGGACTAAACAAAGCATTCAATGAGATGTTCTTTGTGAAATCTTTTCTACAAATGAATTGTTAACCACTTTTTATGTTACATGTTCTGATTTTCTTGGCAAAGAACATTGGGCCTCTAATGATGATCTTTCTTTCAGGCTATACTGGACCCATTGAGGCACCTAATTCTCTCTGAGGGATTCTTTCCCTTTCTCCCTTCCCCTCCTGAAATTTTAGGGCACTGTTAGTGGAGGTGATCTAATGGGTGGGGGAGGAAAGCCTAAATGTTTCTGTGTCTGTGGTCAGCAGTGGTGCAGCCAGCAGAGGACTGATGTCAGCAGCTCTGCCAGCTCCTGATGAAAAACTGGAAGACAATGCCTTTGCTCCCAGACTTCCTTGCATTCCTCTTTCTTTAAGAACAGATGAGACCCAGTTTCTTTGTTACTTTCTTCTCAGCTATTTGGGGAGCAAGAGAAGACATTCTCTTAAGATAATGTTTCCTCTATAGAGGTTCATCATCTCCTCAGCAAAGCTCTCCATGAACAGTAGTTTCCTGCCCCTCAACCTGGGATTCCCTACTGCTTGAGCCCAGATTTATATCCAGTTCCCAAATGGGTTACCACACTTAAGTCTGAATGGTGGCCAGAGAAGCCCTTAGTCAAGGACAGGAAAGCATGTATATTTTCAATTTACCATCTTTCTAGAATGTTCATTCAAGAATTCCTCTGTTTGTGGCCTATTTAATTTTTAACTTGTAGAACTAAAATTATAAAGGGCCATTTTCTGTGTCAGAATCAATGAAGATAGATGGAAAGTCACTTGATCTCATAATGTTCCAAAATTTAATTAAAATGCCTTTATAGAAATTTTTCATAAAATTTATTATATCTATATTTGTCCTTATGCTCTCAGAATATCTTGCTTAGAAAATCCAAGGCCATCTTACATTTTAAAAATTTTGTCTTTTCCTTTATCTTATTTAAAAATATTAACTTTTATATCCATTTGAAATTTATTTTGTAACAGTTATTAAAGTAGGCACACAAATTTATTGCTTAACATCTAAATGACTCTTCATTCACAATGACATGTTTTAGCAAATATAACACATTTTCCTAATTTTTATTTTAAGTAGATTTCTGTAACTATTGCTGTTTGGACTTTCTACTATGTTGCATTGATATGCTTATGTATGGCTTTCTAATGACATTCTTTTTCACTTAGTCTACATTATATTTTGTCATATTAAATGAGAAGGAACTGTTTTGAGAATTTGAGGACTTCCTCAAGTCTGAGGTTGTCTGCAGTACCGCTTTTGGTCTCTAGAGGGAGATGCTGAGCAACTTGAACTATCATAGAAAACCGGAAGGCAAACCCGGCTCTCTGAGGAGCATTTTGCAGCTCAGAGAGGTTAAATTCGGTGCCCTGTCAGGGGTCGGTGTTTCCAGAACAGAACCTTCTGTGTTCCTGTGGTCGGACATGACGCCCATCCTCATCTCAGTGCTGGTGATGATACTTACATTCGGTGAGTAAAAAGGTGCTTTTCATTCTGTCTGTCGGTGAACTGTGATGTAGAATCAGTTTAAAGAATTGTTCTCCACGGTCTAATTAGTTTTTTTCCTGATCCATAATTGGCTTTCAGGAGGAATCAGAGCCCAGACAGTGACCCAGCCAGAGGACCACATCGCTGTCTTTGAAGGGGCCCTGGTGCAGGTGAAGTGCAACTACTCCTATACGGGGAGCCCTGTGCTCTTCTGGTATGTCCAGTACCCTGGACAAGGCCTCCAGGTCCTCCTGAAACACATCTCAAGGGATAGCGCCAAAGGATTCACAGCTGCTCTCGACAGAGGAGAGAAGTCCTTCCACCTGCAGAAACCCTCAGCTCATCTGGACGACTCAGCCACATACTACTGTGCTCTGAGTGACACAGTAACTGCGCTTGCAGGGGAAGCGGAGCACAAACCCTTCAGAGTGACACAAAGCGCTTCCTGTCAGCTCTGTCTGTGGTCCCAGTGAGGCATTCTTCCTCCAGAGCTTGGCATTGAGTGTGCCTCTAAGATACAGTATCTTATCATGGATCAGTTAGCTTCTGGACCTCAATGATTGGTTTAAAAAATCTCATCACCTACTCTGCTTAAATTAGGTTTTTTTTTTTTAATTGTATTTATTCTTTCTAGAAGCACCCACCAAAGAAACTTTTGAAGTAAAAATGGCATAGCACAGCAAAAAAAAAAAAAAGGCCAGAGGGACTGTCCAGGTGTAAGTGGTATAGTCTTCTCTCTCTAACTCCCCTGCGCCCCAACCATCCCTCATGTGTTCTTCATTTCATCCCCAGTGCAACTCCTTATTAGCTCTATGCTGGTTCATGGCTTCTGATTGCTGATCTCTCTGTCTCTAATGATCTCTTTCTTCTCTATATTTCACAGACTCCTACTTTAGCCAAGGTCTAGCCAAAGAGTAAAAATACAACACAGTAATTTGGACAAGAAAAAAATTAATGTGAAAATTACTGTATAATAGAAGGAGATTATCTATTAATAGGGGAAAGGACTCTAAAGAATGTAGAAATTGCACATGTAAGGAGAAGCTCTCAACTTCAGGACCAAGGCAGACTCCCAAGGAAGGAACACATTGGTACAGGCACACTCTGGATCCCTCCAGCCAGAACTAAGATCCAGACCTCATTGGGAATGTGCAGCTGTAGTCTGCCAAGTGGTGGAGAAGTTTGCAAAGGTGCCAGAGAAAAACTATTGCTAAGTGGTAAAATACCTACCAGGATCCAGTACAATTTACAAAAAGCTGGCAAAGGTGTGCTGCTGTACTTCCTTGGGTGCTTACGAAGACTTGCCAAGAAACCATCCAGAGGACTGTCACACACCTGCTAGAGGGGCACATCCCTGGGAGTCCCCGGCTAGCCAAGTACTGCAGGGTGGACAAGAGAACCGGAAACACATCAGCACCAGAGAAAGAAGCCTCTTTTTCCTTCAGTGTCCTTCCAGCCACAGTTAAAGACAAAGCTCCTTATCATACCAGTTGGCAAAGGAGAAACAATTACAGGGTCCACATCCCATATCATAAAAAGGGAATGATGGACAAATTTAGAGCTAGGAGAAAATTAATTGGTAATTGGCCAACCTCATCCCTCTGGCTGATCTTTCATATGCATCTCTATATACACATCTGCTCATCCCAATAACAGTGAATTGTAGTTCCACTTAACAAGTTAAAGAGGTCTCTGAACAATTGAAAAAGGTTTTTTTCCTCATTTTCCCCCCAAATGAGGAAATCCATAGTCCCAACATTCACTGTATGAATCTCTGGCTCTAAAATCATTTTTAAAATTCAGAAGGAGTTCTACATACAGACTACATTGTAAAGTTAGTTACCAGTTATCTGCATAAAAAATAATTATGCTGGGGGAAAAGAAAGAAAGGAGGAGGATAGAGGAGGAGAAGAAATATATACAAATAGAAACATATAAATACAATGAGCAAAGAGAAAAGAGAAAATATACTACTATATTCCTTGATTTAAGATTTGTTTATGAGTCTGCAATTGACATAGACTATATCATTCTTTTAGTTTCTATTTTCATTCCTCTGTCATGGAATCACCAAAATCTTCTTTCTCAAAGTTCTGAGTTCTCAATGATCTGACCTTTTTATTTGTTATGGAGAAAACCCTTGTAGCACAATCCATGAAAAAAAAGAGATTAAATTGAACTCATCAAAATTAAAACCTTCAGCATTGTGGAAGACCCTGTTAAGAGGATGAAAGGTAACTTACTGACAAGGAGAACATTCTGTAAATCATGTACATGCAGAGGCCCTGTAGCTAGAACAAATAAAAAAGTCTCAAATTTAATAGTAAAAGAAAAACAAAATCAAAAGTCCTCAAATAATCCCTTAGTGTATCAGAAAAATGTCAATTCTGGTTTTCATATTGTACTACAATTCTATAAAAAATCTCACCATTGGAGGAAGATAGTGAAGGACATACGACTCTAAATATTTTAGGAACTTTCTGTGGGTACATAATAATTCTAAAACATATTTTAAAATTGCACTGTTATTATCACCAATATTTTCAGAAATACCATGAAGAATTGGGAAGGTATCAAATCCATGTTAATGAATGTGAATTTTTTAAATATTTAAAATTCACATAAATGCTCAAAATATCATCGACAACAACCAGTCACTTGTCTGCCAAATTGTTAGCTCAAATCTTCCATTTTCAAGAAAATGTCTAGAAACTACCCAAACCTGCTGGGCTGTGCTCCTGCTTTCAAGTAAAAAAAAAAAATAGAGTTCTATGGAAATGCAGCTTGCTGCTCCCACTGCAAACCATGCTCCAGTGCTCTTCCTAAGACCCTGTCATGCTTAAGACCTCAGAGGTGCTGCAAGCACCATCTGCTTCATCACGTAGAATAGTAAAAAGGTGTACACTTAAAAGAAAAGATACATCTTTTTTTTTCATTTCTGTATCAAGGACATACTTAAGCAAAATTTTTTTTTCTTTTGCAAATACATGGTGGGTCTCTTTCTGTGGTGATGCATACACACAAGGACTATTAGCATGTTTTAGGCTCACTGATTTTACCTAAGATGACAACAATTGTGTTTGTACCATCAGTACAAATGTCAACACAGTGAAACCCCTGAACTCTATCTTAGTGTTATGATAAAAAAAAATTATTTTCATTATGCAGATTGTCTGATACAGAAATACTCTCAGATATTTCAGTGGACCTAAGACATACAGTTTGACAAGTGCTATTCTAGCATTTTCTGTTTCAGTGGGAAATAACCTGATTCTCTACTGCAGGTAATTTTTTTTTTATTTAACTGTGAGCTTATAGGACTTTACCATTTATTTAGGGTAAATAATAATTGTGAGGTATACAAAAAGGTCTGACAAATGTCCTCTAGAATTGGAGGTGAGGAACTATCTCAGCATAGCTATGTCCTACAAACATTAATGAATTCTACATATGATGGTTATTGTTCTTAACTTTTTTAGATAAGAAGGAAAAAATGTTATTTTCAGAATCCATTTTTGTCAATTATATGAAAGATATATTATTTGTATTTGCTTTGGTTGAATTTTTTCTTTTTCTGGTTAGTGTTGTATTAAATTTAAAAGTTATTTTTCAAGTGCTGCAAACTTTAAAATTTACATCTCATTAATATTTGATCAACATTAATTGCTATTAATGTATAAAAATATACATTTCTCTTTGCTTTATATTTCTTTGAAAACTTTTCAGTCTCTCTATTTTTCCTTCTTATACATTTAAATGTAGTTGGTATTATGAATATAATCTTTCTTTTCTATTATACTGTTACAAGGTCATTGTTGAGCAACCATTTAATGAATATATATGAGTAATCATAATCTTTTGTCATAACATTTTATCTCCACTCTTGGGTATGAACCCAGGGCCTTGTGGATGCTAAGAAGGCATTGTACCCCTAAGCTCCATCCCCACCCCTTCCTTTAAGTGTCACTTGTTTTTTTATTATTTGGCCTAATATTTATTGATGGTTTTCAATAAATATGCCTTATCTTGTAACAAGACTCGACACTTAATTTTTAATTTCTTGAAACTATGTTGAGAAAAATATTTTGAAGTTGGTTATTTGTTGTTATCTTGTGAAGCATATGGATTTTTTAACTTGATGTGTTATATCAATGAATATTTTATATTGATTCATACTTGAGTTCCTAGAATAAACACTAGGTACTAATTACCTTTTATTCTTTCTTCACTTATTCATTTGTGAATGAGAATTTATTCTCATGTTTCTGTACTCAAAGGTATAATAAAATTTCTCACCTCACAGTTCTCCTTTCCAGAGTTTGGATCCTTTTGGCATGTATAGCTGATTACATACCACTTTTAAGAGAACTAGATGCCTGCCCTCTTGTAGTTGACATTAGACAAGTCTCAGGATTTCTTAGAGTCAGGGGACATCTTTTGATCATTATTCTATATTTCCTGGAAAAGTTTTTCAAGTTTTCAACTATCTAGCAGAAAGCAGGCAGATTAAAATTTCAACATTTAAGATAACATTAGTTCCTTGCTCAAAAGACTCCAATTTTTCTTACCTTTATGCTAACAAGCATGAATGTGTGTTGGCTGTGAGCCGACCCAGACCTTCCTGCAGGCTTTTCTCCTGGAACTCTCTGGTCCACACATCCTCCAGCCAACTCTTCCTTGTTCTCCTTCCTTGTTCTCCTTCACTTCTCCTTCTCCTCCCCTGTGCTGGGGATTGAACCGAGGGCCTGAATTTATGCCAGGCAATTATCTACCACTGAGCTACATCCCCCACCCAGCCTTCCTTCTTTTTTTTTCTTCCTTCTTTCCCCTCTTCCCAATCACTAACTTATTTTCCACAAGGAATATCTTGAATTCAATACTGAAACATTTACAAAATTTTCTAGAAGATTTTTGCCAATCTTTTTGACTGTTTAGCATCAGGACTCATTTTCTTGAAGCAGTACCAAGTTTTGAGGCATCAAGCCCTGCTCTGAATGGAATTTTATTATCTCATCATTAACTTTCCACAACTTTGAAAATGTAGCACTGGATTGTTATCATCCATATTTTACAGTCAAGAGAAAATAAGCCCAGAGGACACATGGGCAGCTCCTGAGTGGGTGGATCTCAATTTGACCTCTATGGCAGGACAGCAAAGCTTCTCTTCTGCCTGTGCCCTCCTGTCTCCTACCATAGAAACTGAAAGTGCCAGCTACTCTTTACTATGCACTGAATTATATTTCCACAAATTTCATATGTTGAAGCCCCAAAGAGGACCACCTCAGAAAGTGACTGTATTGGAGATAGGCCCTTTAAAAGGTGAGTATTATTAATGTTTATTGCAGCACAATTCACAATAGCTAAGCTATGGAGCCAACCTAGGTACCTTCAACAGATGAATGCATTAAAAAACGTGGCCTACATACACTCAGAATATTACTCAACCATAAGAAATAATGACTTTATGTCATTTGTTGTTAAATGGATGGATCTAGAAATGATAATGCTAAGTGAAATAAGCGAATCCCTCAAAATCAAGAGATTGAATGTTTTCTCTGATATGTGGAAGCTAAATCACAATAAGGGCAGGGAATAGAAGTTCAGTGGAATAGACAAAGAGGAATGAGGAATAGGAAAAGGAAAGACAGTGGAATTAATCTGACATAACTATCCTATATACATATACAAAAATACCACAGTGAATCTCACCATTATGGGCATCCAAAAGAAATTAAATTAAAAAATAACTATCAATAAATGGCAGAAAGATCAATAGAGGGAAGGGAGTAGGGGTGGGAAGAGGGAAAAGGAAGGAGAGGTACTGGGGTCTGAATTGGAACAAGATATATTCCATGCTTGTATAATTATGTCAAAATGGATTCTACTGTTATGTATAACTAAAAAGAACCAAAATAAAATAAAAACAAAATAAAATAAAATATTTTATCTTATAAAATAAAATAAAGAAATGATTTTGTTAAAATAAAGTCCTTAGGGTGGCTCTCATCCAAAATGTCCTGTATCCATGTAGGAAGAGGTGATTGATTAGGGCTTAGATAGCACAGACAGAAGGTGATTCATATGAGGACACAGTGAGAAGATGACCATCTGCAAGCTGAGGAGATAATCCTCAGGAGAAACCATAGCTTTTGACACCTGGACTTTTGTCTTAAATCCTCCAGAACTGTGGAAAAAGTAGATTTTGTTGTTTAGACCACCCAGTCTCTGGTACTTTGTAAAGCAGCCCTAGCAAGCTGGAAATGAAGTACCTATAGGCAAACTATGGTGCAGTTAGATGTGGGCACACAACTGGGCCCCAGCAGTCAGATGCATTGTTCCCAATGTTGACTCAAGAGTTACTTATGAAAAAAGGAAGGATTTTTGAGAAGGGAGGTAATTACAATAACACAGAGGTGACAGGGCAGCAGACAGACTGTGGAATTGCAGCTGCTTATGTTATCCTGCCTGAGCAGTTTGGCAGGCACCACCTGCAGAGGTTGGAGCTCATTTATTTTTTAATTTAATTTCTTTTGGATGTCCACAATGTGAGATTCACTGTGTTGTATTCGTATATGTATATATGAGAGTTATGTCAGATTGATTCATTCCACTGTCTTTCCTTTTCCCTCTTCCTTCCCTTCATTCCTCTTTGTCTACTCCACTGAATTTCTATTCCCTGACCTTATTGTGATTTAAGGATGGTAAGAGTAGGACACTAAGAGGAGGGCTTCCCCAGACTTTCTGTGCTGCCCTTACTTGGTAGATCAGAGTCCAGTTTCCTGACTTATTGGGGATTCCGAGGCAAACATAGTATTCACTAATTTGTTTTTTTTTTATTTAATTCATTCAAAGTCCCTTTCTATTTCTAATTAGTAAAAGCTCTGACTTACAAGTAGTCTCATTCCAGCAAAGAGGAAGCTTGTCCATACATTTTCAGATGTCATAATTGTAGGCAACTTAACAGTGCTTCTCAAAGATATACATTACTTTTTGAGCTCACCCAACATTCTTCCTTCATTGAGTTCTTACCTAAATTCAACGTATCTGCTTTTACTGCAAACTGGAACCAGAGTTCAATGCAGGCAGTCAATGGACTAGTTTTCCAGTTCCTTCAGGGTCAGCTCTGCACACTTCACCATACAGAGTACATTCCATCAGCAGGATGATGTTGCCACCACCAGATGGCAGTGCCTCCCTCTCCTCAGATTTCAACATTGTGTTCAACATTGTGTTCAAAACAAAGGATTGAGTTTGCTGCTGATGGGTTGGGTTAAAAAAAAATGCGACTCTGGGAGG